TACAGTATGACTCTATATAATAATAATACTTCTATATAATAATAATAATAATATGAATAATAATAAAGCATCTATGTAATAATAACAATAATATTAATAATAATAAAAATGGGTCCCATCAATGCTTGCCAATGGCATCCAATACCAGAGTATCCTATGCAATATATACAGAAGTCTATGATTCTATATAATAATAACAATAATAATAATAATATGAATAATAATAAAGCATCTATGTAATAATAATAATAATAATAATAATAATAATAATAATAATAATAATAATTAATAATAATAATAATAATAATAAAGCTATATAATAATAACAATAATAATAATAATAATAAAGCATCTATGTAATAATAATAATAATAATAAAGCATCTATATAATAATAACAATAATAATAATAATAATATGAATAATAATAAAGCATCTATGTAATAATAATAATAATAATAATAATAATAATAATAATAATAATGGTCCCATCAAAGCTTGCCAATGGCATCCAATACCAGAGTATCCTATGCAATATATACAGAAGTCTATGATTCTATATAATAATAACAATAATAATAATAATATGAATAATAATAAAGCATCTATGTAATAATAATAATAATAATAATAATAATAATAATAATAATGGTCCCATCAAAGCTTGCCAATGGCATCCAATACCATAGCATCCTATAAGTCTATTAGTCTAAATAAGAATAGCAATAATATCTTTGCAAACAACAAAAAGTCACCATTATTTTAACCCAATATATCCTATATACTGATCCTATATACTGTAATAATTATATTAATAATACTTCAATATAATAATAATAATAATAATAATAATAATAATAATATGTATTTATTTATTTATTTATTTATTTGTGACATTTCTATGTTGTGCTATGGTACTGTAAATTAAATTTAAAAATAGAGGGCTTATTAAACATTGAAACTCCCGGGGAAGTCGAAGGGGTGCCAAACTGGAGTAACCCTACAGTGTAGACGGGAACTGGGTCTTATTTGTGCGGAGAAGCATCCTTCCATAGGCGGAATTACCTGTTCTTTGTTGCTTTCTAGTGCCGGGAGGACCTCCTTGACGGTGCGCTCCACCAAGACCCCGCCCACCATCCGGTAGCACTTCCGGGTCGCGTCCACTTCCCGGAGGGTTTCGATAACTAACCTGTGAAGAGGAAGGAAAAGCTGAACCCTTCCGCATTCCTAGACTGTCAAGATTGTCCCTTCCTATGAGTTTTTGGGAGATGTAGTTTGCAGATGGAGAGCTCTAGTGCACGATGGGCCTCTTTGGGGGGAAGATATAATAGCAATAATAATATAATATAGCATAATAATAATATTTGAGAGTGATAAAGCAGGATATAGTAGTCATAATCTCTCTCTATAAAAATGCACATGGCATCCAATACCAGAGGATCCTATATAATATGTACGGAAGTCTATGATTCTATATAATAATAACAATACTTCTATATAAATAATAATAATAATAATAATAATAATAATAATAATAATAATAATAATTTATTTATACCCTGCTACCATACATCGGGGCGGCTTACATGATAATAATAATAATAATAATAATATGGATATGAATATGAATAATAATAAAGCATCTATGTAATAATAATAATAATAATAATAATAATAATAATAATAATAATAATAATGGGTTCGTTTGTGGGAGAAACATAACTCAGAAAACACTGGACAAATTGACACGAAATTTTGACACAATACACCTAATAGTCCAACACATCAGCCCTAAAAACACACAACCCCCCCAAAACTCAAAAAATACACCATATATACATATACATATGCACATGCACACATACACATATATACACACATACACACAAATATCCACTTATACATACACATACATAGATAATATATATACCTATACACATGCACACACAAAATACACAAATACATATACACACACATAAACACAAATATCCACTTAGACATACACATAGATATATATACCTATACACATGCACACACAAACATACACAAATACATATACACAGGCACACATATATACAAATATCCACTTATACACACACATATACCTATACACATGCACACACAAATATCCACCTATACATACACATACATATATACAAATATATCCACGTATATATACACATACAAATATTCACTTATACATACACATACATATATACCTATACACACACATACACACAAATATCAGTTTATACATACACATACATATATATCTATATATCCACTTATACACACACATACATATATACACACACACATATATACACACAAATATCCACTTATACATACACATATACCTATACACATGCACACACAAATATACACACATGTATATACACACATATATATACACATACACACAAATATCCATTTATACATAAGGATACATATATACCTATATATCCACTTATATATATACATACATATATATCTATACACACACATATATACACACACTATATATACACACATACACACAAATATCCACTTATATTTATACATATATTTATACATATATACCTACACACACATATATACACATACACTATATATACACACATAAACAAATGTCCACATACATACACACATATATATACCTATATATCCACTTATACATACACATACATATATACCTACACACACACACACACACATATACATACACTATATATACACACATACACAAATATCCACATACATACACACACATATACACACAAAAATATCCACTTATACATACACATACATATATACTTATACATACACATGCACATATACCTATACACATGCACACACAAATATACACATATACACATATACACATGCGCACACACACACACACACATATATATATATATATATGCATATGCATATACACATATACATACCTAATTACAAATATATACACACAGGTATATATACACATCTATACACCCACATATATATACACAAAAACACATATATACACATATACACAAATATACAGACACACAAAAGACCTATACACAGATTGGGCCACAGCAACGCATGGCAGGGGACAGCTAGTAATAAAGTAAACCTATAGTAATACAGTGTAATAATAATATAAAACAACAACAACAACAACAACAACAAGACTTACTTGTGTTCATTGAGCTCCATCTCCAGCTCCGCCGCTTTGGAGGCCAAGCCTCGCTGCTCCTGGCGCAAGCGGTTGAATCCAGCCACTACCTGAAAGGGAGGGAAGGATTTTATGTGTTTCCTCCACCACAGACATCTCAGTGTTTTTGTCTCTCTCCAGTGGTGTGGAATTTGCGCGATCCCGCCCATTGCCTCTCCCTTCACCCTTTCCGACTCTTTTCTATGGCACATAGCAGACAGAGGACAATTCCATCGTAGATTTCATGTGTTTCCTCCACCACAGACATCCCAGTGTTTCTGTCTCTCTGCCACGGTGTGGAATTTGCACAATCTCACCCACTGCCTCTCCCTTCACCCTTTCCGACTCTTTTCTACGGCGCTCGGCAAACAGAGGACAATTTCATCGTAGATTCCATGTGTTTCCTCCACCACAGACATCCCAGTGTTCCTCACTCTCTCCAGTGGTGTGGAATTTGCATGATCCCATCCACTGCCTCTCCCTTAACCCTTTCTGACTCTTTTCTATGGCACACAGCAATCAGAGGACAATTCCACACTAGATTTCATGTGTTTCCACCACTACAGGCATCCCAGTGTTGCTGTTTCTCTCCAGTGGAATTTGTGAACTTAAACAATGATGGATTCTTTTCTATGACACACAGCAAACACAGGACAATTCCATCCTAGATTTCATGTGTTTCCTCCACCGCAGACATCCCAGTGTTCCTCACTCTCTCCAGTGGTGTGGAATTTGCAGGATCCCGCTCACTGCCTCTCCCTTAACCCTTTCCTACTCTTTTCTATGGCGCACTGCAAACAGAGGACAATTCTATTGTAGATTTCATGTGTTTCCTCCACCACAGACATCCCAGTGTTCCTCGCTCTCTCCAGTGGTGTGGAATTTGCACGATGCTGCCCACTGCTTCTCCCTTCACCCTTTCCGACTCTTTTCTACAGCACGTGGCAAACAGAGGCCAATTCCATCCTAGATTTCATGTGTTTCCTCCACCACAGACACCCCAGTGTTCCTCACTCTCTCCAACGGTGTGGAATTTGCACGATCCCACCCACTGCTTCTCCCTTCACCCTTTCCGACTCTTTTCTACGGCGCACGCCAAACAGAGGACAATTCCATCCTACATTTCATGTGTTTCCTCCACCACAGACATCCCAGTGTTTCTGTCTCTCTCCAGTAGTGTGGAATTTGCGCGATCCCGCCCACTGTCTCTTCCTTAACCCTTTCCTACTCTTTTCTACAGCACATGCCAGAGGACAATTCCATCCTAGATTTCACGTGTTTCCTCCACCACAGACATCCCAGCGTTCCTCACTCTCTCCAGTGGTGTGGAATTTGCACGATCCCACCCACTGCCTCTCCCTTAACCCTTTCTGACTCTTTTCTATGGCACACAGCAAACAGGACAGTTCCATCCTAGATTTCATGTGTTTCCTCCACCACAGACATCTCAGTGTTCCTGACTCTCTCCACTAGTATGGAATTTGCATTACCCTGCCCACTGCCTCTCCCTTCATCCTTTCCGACTCTTTTCTACGGCATACTGCAAACAGAGGACAATTCCATCCTAGATTTCATGTGTTTCCTCCACCACAGACATCCCAGTGTTCCTCTCCCCATTGGTGTGGAATTTGCATGACCCCGCCCACTGCCTCTCCCTTCACCCTTTCCTACTCTTTTCAATGGCACACAGCAAACAGAGGACAATTCCATCCTAGATGTTATGTGTTTCCTCCACCACAGACATCCCAGTGTTTCTGTTTCTCTCCAACGGTGTGGAATATGTATGATCCCGCCCACTGCTTTTCCCTTAACCCTTTCCGACTCTTTTCTATGGCACATAGCAGACAGAGGACAATTCCATCGTAGATTTCATGTGTTTCCTCCACCACAGACATCCCAGTGTTTCTGTCTCTCTGCCACGGTGTGGAATTTGCACAATCTCACCCACTGCCTCTCCCTTCACCCTTTCCGACTCTTTTCTACGGCGCAGCAAACAGAGGACAATTCCATCCTAGATTTCATGTGTTTCCTCCACCACAGACATCCCAGTGTTCCTCACTCTCTCCAGTGGTGTGGAATTTGCACGATCCCACCCACTGCCTCTCCCTTCACCCTTTCCGACTCTTTTCTACGGCGCACACCAAACAGAGGACAATTCCACCCTAGATTTCATGTGTTTCCTCCACCACAGACATCCCAGTCTTTCTGTCTCTCTCCAATGGAATTTGTGAACTCAAACAATGATGGATTCTTTTCTACAGCATACGGCAAACAGAAGACAATTCTATCGTAGATTCCATGTGTTTCCTCCACCACAGACATCCCAGTGTTCCTCACTCTCTCCAATGGTGTGGAATTTGCACGATCCCACCCACTGCCTCTCCCTTCACCCTTTCCAACTCTTTTCTATTGCACACAGCTAACAGAGGGCAATTCCACCCTAGATTTCATGTGTTTCCTCCACCACAGACACCCCAGTATTTCTGTTTCTTTCCAACGGTGTGGAAATTGCACTATGAACCCAAACAATGATGGATTTGGACCAATTTGGGGGAGGGGGGAGGGAGCGTGGTTTGCACTCTGCACATGCCCCGAGGCCCGCCCCCCCCCCGGGCCCCTCCTCCTCCTCCTCCTCACCTGCTCGGCCGACAAGGCCTTGGGCGCCGCCCCCGCCCCGCCCGAGGAAGGCGCCGTCCCCGCGGGCCCGGCCTTGCTCTTGCTGCCCTCCGCCATCTTCCCTCGTCGCCTAACAACCGCCTCAGACACCACTTCCGGCCCTCTCAGGCGCTTCAGGCCTCCGCTTCCGGTCCGGCCTTACTCCGGTCGGCCATCTTGAAGCCTGGAATCTGTCCCTCTTTGAGGCGCCATCTTGAAACCTGGACTGTTTCCCCCTTTGGAGGCGCCATCTTGAAACCTAGATTCTGTACCCTTTGGAGCTGCCATCTTGAAACCTGGAATCTGTACACTTTTGAGGCGCCATCTTGAAACCTGGAATTTCTTCCATTTTAGAGTCGCCATCATGAAACCTGGAACCTGTTCCCCTTTGAGCCGCCATTTTTAAACCTGGACTCTGTTCCCCTTTGAGCTGCCATCTTTATAACTGGACTGTTCCCCATTTTTTTTTTGAGCCGCCATCTTGAAACCTGGAATATGTTCACCTTTGAGCCGCCATCTTGAAACCTGGAATATGTTCACCTTTGAGCCGCCGTCTTGAAACCTGTTCCCCTTTGAGCCGCCATTTTGAAACCTGGAATATGTCCCCTTTTGAGACGCCATCTTGAAACCTGGAATCTATTCACCTTTGAGCCGCCATTTTGAAACCTGGAATCTGTATCCTTTTGACAGGCCATCTTGAAACCTGGCATCTGTCCCTCAAGATGCGCCATCTTGAAAACTGGACTGTTGCCCCTTTATAAATGGACTATTCCCCCCTTTTTTTCAGCCGTCATCTTGAAGCCTGGAATGTGTACCCCTTTGAGGCGCCATCTTGAAGCCTGGAATGTGTACCCTTTTGAGGCGCCATCTTGAAGCCTGGAATGTGTACCCTTTTGAGGCGCCATCTTGAAGCCTGGAATGTGTACCCTTTTGAGGCGCCATCTTGAAACCTGGAATGTGTACCCTTTTGAGGCGCCATCTTGAAACCTGGACTCTGTTTCCATTTGAGCCGCCATTTTGAAGCCTGGAATCTGCTACCCTTTGAGCTTTATAACTGGACTGTTCCCCCTTTTGTTGAGCCGCCATCTTGAAATCTGGAATCTGTCACTCCTTCAGCCGCCATCTTGAAACCTGGAATCTGTCCCTCTTTCAGCCGCCATCTTGAAACCTGGAATCTCTTCCATTTTAGAGCCGCCATCTTGAAACCTGGAATCTGTACCCTTTTGAGGCGCCATCTTGAAACCTGGAATCTGTCCCTCTTTCAGCCGCCATCTTGAAACCTGGACTCTTTTCCATTTTAGAGCCGCCATCTTGGAACCTGGAATCTGTCTCTCTTTCAGCCGCCATCTTGAAATCTGGACTCTTTTCCCCTTTCAGCCGCCATCTTGAAACCTGGACTCTCTTCCATTTTAGAGCCGCCATCTTGAAACCTGGAATCTATTCCCCTTTGAGCTGCCATCTTGAAACCTGGACTCTTTTCCATTTTAGAGCCGCCATCTTGAAACCTGGAATTTATCCCTCGAAGCGCCATCTTGAAACCTGGAATCTCTCTTTGAGCCGCCATCTTGAAACCTGGACTCTTTTCCATTTTAGAGCCGCCATCTTGAAGCCTGGAATCTGTCTCTCTTTCAGTCGCCATCTTGAAAC